GAGAGAGAGAGAGAGAGAGAGAGAGAGAGAGAGAGAGAGAGAGAGAGAGAGAGAGAGAGAGAGAGAGAGAGAGAGAGAGAGAGAGAGAGGGCACATACCTGGTTCGTCGTGGGGGTCTGCATGGGCGACATCGGCACGTACTTTGGTTTCTGCTGCTGAGGTCTTCCTGTTGTGTCATCATTAGTGTAGGTTAGAATAGGAGCTGTGTGATCGTAGTCTGGGCGCTGATCGCCAAGTAGGAGAAAATACATTGAGCGCATTGTTGATGGAGGCGAGGTAAGGGCTGACGTTGACAATTAAGTTTGTTGCTCTAGTCTCCTTCGCTGTGATATTGGTGCATTTCTGCTTTCTGGACAGCTCATGCCTATCTGGCTTTCAATGTGATGTTGCAATTTGGAATTCTGTCATTTTGCTCATGCTCATTTTCCTCCCAATTTGATATCAGAGCCTGGTTTGAGCCGCTCTGCTGGCTTCAGCACACTGGTTGTTTGGTGCTGTGTCGTGAGTATCCACAGCAGTGATAATGCTATGGCACTGAATTGATTGGCGGCATTGTCGTGTGGGTGCACCTGGAAGGCTATGTGGTGACATTGGGGTGTATGCTGCGTGATGAGAGCTCGCTGGCGTGGCATTTAAGCTGAGGTGGAACAGCGTTGTGTTGTGGGTTGTGCCGAGGCAATGACCGGTCATCATAAATGCACGTCAGGTCAACTGGTGAGAAATCTGTCGTTGGGGGCAGCATTGTGAAGTACGTTACTCCTTAGCTTATCTACCCTCCTCAACTCTTCTTACCATGAGGAAGTGTGTCCGGTCTTGAGAGTCCTCTCATTGTGATGAGAGTCCTCTCATTGTGAGGAGTCCTGAGCGCTCTATCTTGAGAGTTGATATTCTTCCTGGGGAGCATGCTGGTGGGAGGGTAGAGTTGTCTGAAGGGCCCTGGACGAAGCACGGGTCACGGTTACCATGCCAACCCATGGGAGTAGAGCACACATGCTTTGCTGCTTTTGTCCTTTGTATGCTCTTGCTGCGCATTAGAGGTGGTGTTGGGCAGGCCAGCCCTATGGGGGATCGACGAGCACCGGACAGTCTATAAAGAACCTCCGGTGCCGACAACCAGCTTGCGCTGTGCGCCAGTTTAAAAATAGTACAGACGGGGCTGGCCAGTTCTTCACTTGCCTGGGCACAGGGGTGGGCCGTCAGCACACCTTTAGACACCGCACCGCAACCGATGCTCTCAGGACGTCGACAAGCAAGTGACAATCAAGAAAGAGCAAGGGTTTGGGTGGATTCCGGTAGGCTGTTCGTTTGTCAATGACCGTAAATTTTCCATTCAGCATTCATCCTTTGCAATCAATTTTATTTTTATTTTTGATTAGTGAGATGTGAGTGACTTCTCACATCTGACAGACCACT